CGAGCCGTGCTTCTCGTCTGCACGGCTTCCTGTCCCACCTATCGCTCCGGAGCACCGGGGGCCTCCGGGCCACCCTCGAGTCACAGCACGTTGCGTGGCACGCGAGAGCGGGGGGGCAGGAGGACAGCGAGATTCTAGAAAGCGGTCAAGGGCTGCACAGTCCTATGGAGGTGTGGGATGGAGGGTGGGTGCAGGAGGGAGCTCCGGTGCTTCTCGTCTGCACGGCTTCCTGTCCCACCTATCGCTCCGGAGCACCGGGGGCCTCCGGGCCACCCTCGAGTCACAGCACGTTGCGTGGCACGCGAGAGCGGGGGGGCAGGAGGACAGCGAGATTCTAGAAAGCGGTCAAGGGCTGCACAGTCCTATGGAGGTGTGGGATGGAGGGTGGGTGCAGGAGGGAGCTCCGGGTAGGGGACCGGGGTGTAGGAGGGAGCACTTGATAGGGGACCAGCGTGAGGGAGGGAGCATGGGGTGAGGGACGGAGAGTTGGTGCAGGAGAGCGCACCGGGTAGAAGATTGGGGTGAGGGAGGGACTGCAGGGTGTGGGACGCAGGGCGGGTGCGGGAGGGAGCGTCGGGTAGGAGCCCAGGGTGGGGAGGGAGCGTGAGCCAGGGTACCGGGGTGTGGGAGGAAGTGCGGGGTGTGGAATGGAGGATTGGTGTGGGAGGGAGCGCCGAGTAGGAGACTGGGGTGCAGGAGGGAGCACGGGGTGTGGGTTGCAGAACAGGTGCGGGAGGGAGCGGGCGGCAGAGGACCGGGGAGGGGAGGGAGTGAGCGGTAGGGGCCCGGGGCGGGAGGGAGCGGGCGGCAGGGGTCTTGGCCATTGTTTCTGATTAAAGTCTATTCCAGAGGTGGAGTTTCTCCCTGGAAATTTGAGATCCTTGGAAGGGTTCTGCCTGCTCTTTGTACAAGTCTGTTTCAGGACTGGTGTATAAGTAACTACAAATAAGTTACACTAAAAATATACCATGACTTATTTCCATTAGAAATCAGATATGTCAGGCCATTAATCTGCTACTGTTCTCCAGACCATTCTCTAATCAAAATCTCAAGTGATAAAAATCTATAGAATACTGAAACTCGATAAACAAACAAGCCTTCACCGCAGGGTAAGTATTTAAAGCCTGCCAGAAACAATAAAAGAATAGAAGTGAGCAGTCACCATCTCAAAGTGATCGAAACAGCACAAGGATGAATTATGTATAGAATCTTAGCACAAGTCTGAGCACAGCAAACATGTTACAGTTGATTTCCATTAACATGGTATTAAAGCATACCAAAAAAACTCCAAGTACTGGAGAGTTCGTCAAAGTTTATCTAGAATATCTTCTAAACGTCAGCAGTTTACCATGCTAGCTGGACAAGTTCCAGTAAGGAAGGTGAATATGTTGCACCATTCTTATGAGATTAGAAAACAAGCTAGTATTTTACTATCTTTTAATTATTATAATTGACCTATCATTTAACATGTTTTGGTAATTCCAATGGCATTTAGCAACAACATTTCAGTGGGAAGAGGGCATTTGCGTTATTTGTCCAAACTAGTTTACAGATTTGGAGACACTGACTAAGATTATGTAATTACGAAATGGCAGTGCCTGCTATTTTAATTAATAAACAATTATATTCAATTCTTTGTAGTTCCATGGGACCTTTCATCTGAGGACATTATAAACTTTAACTAATTAATCCTCAGATCACCCCTGTGATGTAGATAAAGAGTATATACAGATCACTTCACCCACTATTAAAAGGCAGCCGGGGGGCGCTGGGCGACCTTGCCCTGACGGCGGGGCCTGGCCCTGTGCGGTCTCTGTATATGGCCCCATCACCATGGCAACTGAGCACCCGTGTGACGCAGGGGGGTTTGCCTCACGCTGTTGGCTTTGTTATGCTGCATGTGATTTTGGCTGCCCTGTAGTAGCCCCAGGTGTGTGCCTCAGTTTCCCCGGACACTGGTCTCGTCTAGGTGGGAATTTGAGTGACTCATGCAGCCCATCACTAGGCAAAGGCTCTGTGATGTGGGAGGGGTGTGCCCTGGGAGGGGTGACCAGGTGACACCTTTGGCCCAGCAAGGTAGACCAAGGGGGTGGGGCTGTCTGCAGGCTGGGGCTGGTTGCTGGGGTTTCCTCGTGGGGAGGGGGGCTTGGAGCAGGATGGGGCCCGGGCCCTGGGGCCCCCTCTCCCCAGGCTGGGCTGTGCTGGCTCTGCCTGGTTC